CTAAGAGAAGGACAGAAGTCGGATCATGTCAGACCGCTGCCATCTGCCGACACTGGGTTCCGTGTGCTGTGGTGTATAATGGGCAGACCGGTGCCCGGTGTGTTGCTGCGTGTCACCGAGGTGCTCCCGCAGGTGGACTAGTCAGACAGGTTTGACCTAGAAGTCGCAACTGTTCACTCATTTCTGAAGGCAATGTAGGAAAGTTATCATGAAGGTAGCAGCAACGTTAGCGCTTCTGCAGTTGTATATTTCTGCAACAGGTGAGTTTGGATCGACTCGGAAAACACAGGTGAGTGTAAAAACCCCGCTTCAATCTTTTTTTTTTTCTTTTCCTTTCAGCTGAACTCGTTACAGCGGAAGTTTCGGGTAATGTCTCAACCGAAACGGCCCTGTCAGCTTCACCGGGTGACATCGTTATACTTCCGTGTTACACAGCAGGTAAAGTAACACCGGTGGTAACGACATGGACCAAAAATGGACGGGAAATCGTTACAGTCGGAGATCCCACTCGGCGCCTCATCGTGAACCCTGATGGGAGTTTGAACATCAGCGCGACGATGCCTGGAGATGAGGGGATTTACCTGTGCAACTCCACACTATCTGTCAACAGCTCCTTCCTGGCACGTGTGCTGCTTCAAGTAACAAGTAAGTGTATGCGCACATTTTGAACAATGAGCTCTTCACGGTGAGGTAATGTAGGTGTTGCTTGCCTGAATTCTTGTAACTTTTCTAGCAAATGTAAACTGGTTCATCTACATAACATGTGGGCCAGTTCTGGACAGCGGCTGACTTTTGTAGATGGGTCTAAATGTGCTATGTGGAGTTTGCCAGGCCTTCACTTTGCTGCATGCTTCTCTCAGAGTATTCTAGCTTCCTCCCACAGTCCAATGACATGCATACTGTTTACTTAGTATGTCTAAATTAGCCATAGGTGTGAATGTAAGTGAACATGAATGTAAGTGTGTCTCCATGTGTTTGCCCTGTCATGTACTGCTGACCTGTCAGGGGTATACCTGGCCTTATGGTCAGTGACAAATGAGACTGGCTCCCGTGCCCCTGTGACCCTGAATTTGAGATGGATGGGTCTGTTTGTAAAGCGCTTATAGCTACACTTTGAGAAGGCGGCTATGGTCATCGTTCTTTGATCTTTAAGGTCTTTATCAGCTAACCACTCAGTGGAGTACTGCAATACCTGATCACAGTCTTCTTGAAAAATGCAGACTTTTTCCTCTATCGCTGCTTGAAGAAAGATTCTGAAAACTGTCATTAGGCGTGGTGCTCATTTTGAGTCCATTTTCATCCAAAAAAAAAAAACAAAGATCCAACTAGCTCACCTTTAAAACATCAGCCCTGACCAGTACCCAACATGCAGGTTCTTGGTGCCTGATTTGAAGTGGAGCTGTTACTGGTCCAGCTGTGGCTCGCTCATCTAGTCCATCAAGAGTCACACACCATCACACTGGTCCACAAAAACCTCAAAAATCTGTCTTGAGATATTTCTTGGTTCTGAATACACTGAATACTTTGTACTTCTGGGTACTCCATGTAGGTTGCAGTCAGAGATGGGCAGTTACAAGTAATGCGTTACTATAATCCGATTACATTTTTGAGTAACGAGTAAAGTAAGGGATTACTATTGCAAAAAAGGTAATTAGATTATTGTTACTTTCCCGTAAGCACGCTGCGTTACTGCGTTACTAAAACCGTGATTTTTATTTTTTGCGAGAGTGTCTCATGACCAGTGTTGGTCAAGTTACTTGAAAAAAGCAATCAGTAACTAATTCTGATTACTTCCCCCAAAAAGTATTTTCAAAAGTAATTAGTTACTTAGTTAGTTTTTAAAAAATGATTTACAACCTGAATAGGTGATAAAGCAATAGATCTTTCAGCCCAATTCTATTTTTTCTGCATAATCCATCATATAAAATGTAATCAAATGAAAAAGTCTCTTTTTGAAACTAGTTTTATTAGCTTTAATCTTTTAACTTCATGCATGAGGCAAATATTAAATTATATGCAACATTCTCTGACTGGAAGAAATTTGTTTAACATTTAAACCTATTTTCTGCATATTCCAGCACATAAAATAAAATAGTTTTTTGTGTTTACACTCACCTTTCAAATAGATGCACGTAAAACACAGAAGTTAAAAGATTAAAACTAATAAAACAAGTTTTGAAAAGAGACTTTTTCATTTGATTACATTTTATATGATGGATTATGCAGAAAAAGTAGAATCGGGCTGAAAGATCTATTGCTTTATTACCTATTTAGGGGATAAATCATGTTTTAAAAAGTAACTAAGTAACTAATTACTTTTAAAAATAAGTAATCAGTAAAGTAACAGGATTACTTTTTTGGGGAAGTAATCAGTAATTAGTTACTGATTACTTTTTTCAAGTAACTTGACCAACACTGGTTGCTGTTATGGACAGCAGTGGTGGATGATTGGTTTCTGGCAGGTCAGCGTTTGATTCGCAGTTAATTAGCAATTAGTTTTTCTCAGCAGGTTTCTTTTGACACTGTTGGCTATTGGCAACAAAACATTTGATGGTTCTGTGATCACGCGTCGATATATTAGAAATTTCAAGAGTGCGACATCATTCAGAAAAGAGAGTAACAGCTGAAGTGTTAAGTAGTAATGGGAGCCAGTTAACATCTGTGCTCTGAAGCTTACTAGATAGAATCATGGTTGGACATCAGGCTACTTGATTATGGAAGAGAATCGTCATCATGCTGAGTTTGGCAAACGTAGTTTATTTAATACGATTACTTGTTGAGTTGTTTGGTTTTCCATATCTGTCTGACAAAACACTCCTTCCACAAGTTTGGACTTTTAGGAATGGGTGTGTACAAATGTTAAAGACAAGGGGTGTGGAGGAGTTGTAATACAAAGTACAAGAGATTCTCTGTGAAACAGACTGTAACAGTCATTGTTTTATCTTGATTTTCTGGTTTTCATAATTGATTGCAAACCTAAAATCCATATTTAAACGGTACTGCTCCAGGCTAAAATTGAAAATAAGAGTAGGTTTTCTTTCTAATACCAAATGAAACCACTGCAGGACAAGTTTGCTAAAGAGAACCTTGACACTCCACTCTTCTGCTGGGAAAATGTTTTGTGAACAAAGTGAAGCTCAATTATTCAGAAATAACATCCACTTTGTGTGTCTTGGGCACCAGCATGAAAACATCATCCAAAAGGTGAAGTGTGATTGGTTGCTGTTTTTGCTGCTTCTCTCCTGAATAGTTTTGGCGGGCAAAATGTGTTTATCAAAGAATCTTGCAGGATAATTTCAAGGTGTCTGCACCTTTCTACAGCGGGACGTTAAACTGAAACATCAAAGTAAATGTGCTGCAGAATGACTCGGATCAAAATCTGAAATTAGCTTAAGAGTATTTTTGTTTTATATGCCAAAGACAACCTATGGGCTATATTTTGGTGACTATCAGAACACATTGTATAATAAGACAGACAGATCCACTGAATGTGTTTTTCTTGCTTTTATTGGTTCATAATGACACTTGTTATATTTTCCTCTACAAACATATCTTTAAAGTTGCTTACAGTATTTACTGATCAATAATAAGTTCTTAAAGTTATCTCATAAATTCAGAAGTTACTCTGAGTGAGGTTATACTAAGTTTTAATGCACTGTATGCATTTCTCTCAGGTGGACCAGAAAATGTGTCTACATCCATCAGTCTTGCCACTGCACTGTCCAATGGGACCTTTTACACATATCGGGGTTCATCCGTTACTTTAAGGTGCTCCGGCTCCTCCTACCCGTCTCAGCACCTGACCTGGGCCTTCAGAGGTGACTCGTCAAGCAACGACTCGCTGGTTTCGGTCTCTGGATCGTCCCTGGAATTCACCATACAAAACATTCAGCCCAGCGCTCAAGGAGTTTACAGCTGCAGGGCCCACAACCCTGTTTCAAATGTGACAGTAAACAGTAGCACGGAGCTGCTCGTGTACTGTAAGTATCATGAACAGGATCATCTGCTGTGACTGTAAGCTTGACAGTGTAAAGTGGGATTTTATGTATGTTTATGTGTGTTTGAATCAAAGACTGAGCTTTGGTTTAATGGCAAAGACAATGCAGCAGGGCTGAATACTGTATAACTGTATGTTTGTTGACATGCAGGCCTGAGTTTTAGTGCTGATATTAATGTGATAATTTTTCATATAAACACACCCATTTTTTATGCATTCTCCCCTTTTCATTTAAAAAAAACACATCCTTCACTTTAGCATGCCTACTTATAAAGTGGTGTCATTATTTAGCAGAGGAAACAAAAGGAAAATCTTGGAGATTGCATGTGACAATTTAGCCAGAGAGTGGAGCTGAAACACTCCTGGGTGCTGTAAGCTTCACCAAAACCTGTTTTCTTATTAAACATTAATGGGTTATGTTGCTTAGAAGCAGAAAACATTTCATAATTTAAATTTTTAATATGTGTTTTAGATTTACAGTTTTGTTTATAATTCACTCAGTGGGAATAAAAAAAAAACTAAATGGCTCTTCAAGTACAACTTGAGGTCAAATCCACAAAAAGAAACTTAGTACAGTGTTTTAGGTTTATAATGAATGTTAGTCAGTAAGCTACAAAACTGTAGACATGTTGAAATGTTTGCACGGAGACATTCCTGGACAGAAAAGCTGAATAAAATATTTAGTTATTCACAGTTTTATCAGTAAAACTGCTAGCTGAGCATTAAAAGATAATCCAGTCCAGTTCAGAGTGGCGTGGGGACTACTTTTTCCCTCTTAACCTCTTGCTGTACTACAAGAGAGAATATGATAGAGGGCAAGCAAGGCTGTGGAGGGAACAAAAAAATGCATACTGAGAGATGTTTTGATGGGCTGAAAAAAAGCTGAGTCAGTACCCACCAGCAGCTGAGATGAGGGAAAATGAATGGCAGGAAAGGTCAAAACATGCTATCCAGGCCTCACTGAAAATATTACACTCAAACACTGTGAATGTCATGATTAATCGTGGCGTAACTGTGGAATGATTTTATCTATGTGGCTTCCGTTACGAGGGAAAAAAAAATACTATATTATGTGCAGGGTAAGGAGGCTGTGGCGGTTTATTGAGTCACTGCGATAACAATACATTGAATTGACTTCCTGAAATGTTTGCACGCAGCTTGTTCCCTGTTTTCGCTGACTTCCTGTAGCTCGCTTTTCAACACGGAAAAATCAAATCCATTTTTACTGAATGTTTGGAAATAATAGGCTTGTTTTATATGTCAGGTAACACTTTGTTTTACAGTTCCAGTGTTTTCTTAAAATTTGTTTGAGCACAATTGTTATGTAAATGTGTTGACAGCACAGACAGAGGTTAACTAATATACATCCATTTAAGCAAATCATTTCAGTCTTTGCTCGACAGTATGCAAAAAGTTTACAGGTTTTTATGCTGTGTTTGAAAGAAGAAATTTTCATTAATGAAATCATAATAAATGATTACTTACTCTGCTTTATATCAAGGTTACACAGGATAACTAAACTCAAACAGCTTTCTCTCTTCTTCCTACTTATAATTAATACTGAATGAAACAACTGAAGTTTCAGTTCACTTCAGTTCAATTCATCATATAGTGTCAAATCGCAACAAAAGTTGCCTCAAGGTGCTTTATATTGTAAGGTAATGTCCCTACAAAAATACAGAGAAACCCCCAACAATCATGTGACCACCTATGAGCAAGCACTTTGGTCACAGTGGGAAGGAAAAACTCCCTTGTGACAGGAAGAAACCTCCAGCAGAAGCAGGCTCAGGGAGGAACTGCCACTCAGATGCTTTAAGTTTCACCAGAACATTTAGTAATTAGTGGAAAATATGGCATCAGAGATGGGTTTCTTCTTTATTCAGCTGCTCCCTTTAGGCGTCTACTTCCATCTCTATCATTCTCCTCTGTCACAGCAACCCTCTGCATGTCCTCCTTCACTACTTGCATGAATGAATCTGTTTTCTTCCTCTTATCCTCCTGTCTGGCAACTCCATCTTAAACATCCTTTATCCTTTATCCAGTATATCTGTTCTCATTCTTTGGTCTCCAAACTGCTCAACCTGGGCTGTCTGATGTACTCCTTTCTAATCCTGTTCCTCCTGGTCACTCTCAAAAACTCTGCCAACTCCAGCTCGACGTCCAGTCTTTTTGTTAGAGCCACTATCTCCATACCATACATCTCATCGGGTCTTACTATTATCTTATAATCTTCCCTTTCACTCCTTCTATCAGATTCCCCCCGGACATTCGTTTTTACCCACTCCACCCTGCCTACTCTCTCTATTCCCTATCTCGCGCGCTGTCCGTTGTTTCGGTTGACTCTAGATCAACCCCAGACATAAGAGTGAAGTATCAAAAGTGAAATTGTTATTCTAAGAAAAGATAAGCTCTCTTAGTACAAAATCATGGACAGATTGAATGTGCAATGGCACTCTAAACACTTTACAGAATTCGTAACAGGATCAGACAGACCAAAAGTGAGCCCATGATCGAATGATCGATACATAAAAACGTGTTAACTGAATGATAGAAGAGCATCACAAGTGCAGCACTTGATAGCTTGTAGTCTCTAAAGCAGCTTTTCAGAGCAGAAACAAGCTAACACTTTGTCCTAACACCTCAAAGCTTTTCAAAAACGATTTGAACATCAAAGAACACTAACTGGCATAGACGTGCCACGCAGTGACCTGTGATTAACCCTTTATGGGGGATCTTGAGGCCTGATTAAGCCAAGCATTCCTGGCATAACATTCCCGACATCTTTGGATGTCTTTGGACTTTGATAATGTGGGTTGGAAGCAACTTGTGGAGCTCATGAAGCTCAAGTGCAGCTTTTGTTAAGGAAAACAAGGCAAACCTAATGCGAGGGAATTCTTAAGCGATGTATGTAATATTGTTATGTGTAACAAAATATTTTTAGTAAATAAAACATTAAAACACTTAAAGGTCTAACAGAAAAATCTCAGTTAAAATTTGCTCTTAATTTGAGTTTTGCTTTAAGCAGCTTGAGGTGACTGTTATTGTGATTTGGCTCTACATAAATAAAATGGAACTGAAATGATCTGAATATCCTTTCCTGAACATACAGGAGTGAAGGCGAAATATTTAAATGACAGCATTCCTACTGCTCATTACTGATGCTTTTATTTTTATTTCTTTTTCTCCTAATTAGACGTCTCAGATAGACACCCTGAGTGTAAATGGACACTGACACAGAACATCTCTCTAGTCCAGTTCACCTGCACTTGGTTGGAAGTTTATCCCACCCCAAAGCTACGTTGGGATATGGGACCATTCCAGGTGGCGGACAGCCTCAATGTTACGATGAGCCGCTCCACGCTGTCAGACGGGCAGACCGTGAAATGCACAGCCCAGCCCCAGCACCTCGGCTCAGAAAAAGAGAAGTCGTGTTCGTTTACCCTCGGTAAGCTTGTTGTAGGGAAATGTGCCTCTTAACGATCCTGAGATCTGCTGAATCTTTAATGTACTTTTGACTTAAGAAGCCACAGTGACACTCGCTGCTGTCAATCACTGTTTATAGTTCTGACATCACATTTATGTCATGGTTGAGCTTCTGTGCAGGTAGTATATTTGATTACTCAGAATCACAATAGTTTATTATTCTCAGCGAGGAAGTTACTTTGTGACAATAAAAAAGGCCACTCAGAGAGCGCAAAAAGTGTGACCTTCACTCAATTTACACCAAAATCGAATCAGCTCAAGCTGTTACTGGTATCTACTATCACACAAAATTTCAACATGATAGCTTGAAAACTGCAGACACTATAATGCTAACAAACAAACAAACAAATAGAATCCATTACATACTCTCTCCCTTTGGACGAAGAACAAAAACTATGGAAAAGAATAGTGCATGAAGTACAAATAAAAATAAATAAATAAACACTGTAGTATTTAAAAATATACACTCAAAGCAAAATAAAAGTTAAACAATATCACGTGCAACATTTACTAGATGATGACAAGTGAAAATAATTCAGTCTGTAATCACTGATTAGTCATAGGATTCGTCCATAACTTGAATACCATCCTCCTTTCTCACACTGACTTCACAGAGTGAAGCTCCACACCCACAACGTCACCAGCCTTCCAGATCAGTGTGAGCCTGTTGGTGTACACCACCCTCTGCTGCCCCAGCACACCAGTGGATGGCACTGGCCACCACAGACTCCTCAAATTAAAAACAAAAAACAAATTAGTGCAGGTCTACACCCTAAAATTGTAAAATGCATTGTGGGTATTTTGTCAGATGATCTTTCAGTTTAAAAATCCAATTAAATCGGATGAAACAGCTATATGGTACAGCCCTATAAAATTGCATGGTTCTTAACAGGAACATTACCTATAATTGAATAATATTTTCAAATTAAGAGCATGTGAAAAAAGTCTTAGAAGCACAATGTCACTTTTGTCTAACATACCAGTTTTTCCTTCAGGGACAGAGTTTCTGTAAAAACATCACAGTAAACAGAAACCATCCGCATGATCAGATATCATGTGACGTATGTGAGAAAAATATGTGCTGCAGGAGTAGGAACTATGTGAGCAATGCATATTTGACTTACAGAATGATGGCGTCCTCCCTTGAAGCCAACAGGTCAAAAATATCTGGTCATAATGTGAGAGAGTCACAACCCAGGAAAACTGATTATGTTTAGCATTACTCCAGAAATATGGCTAACATTGCCATACTCGTCATAAATGTAAAAGTAACTTGATTAGGACTAATCCTAATTATTGGGTATTGTTTTTAATATTCATATGAAGTACCATAATATTTATTCGATTAAGCTTTCCAGCCCTGACAAGAATAACACTTAGCAGTGTGCTCATGAGAACACAACACAGGGTATGTGGGCTGTTAGTGAGTCACCCAGTTGTGTAAAGGTTATCATCACATGAATGCCTTATTCAAACAATGAGTTGATGCAACAGGATGCGAGTTGCTGTTCTCTTATCAGCCTTCTTCTGTGAATCAGAAACACTGAACAAAAATGACATTTTGTCAAACAAAATGAGTAAAATTCCAAAATATTCTTGTTTATTTACAAATTGCAATTGATATTTACTGAACAAACAAAGCAATAGTCCAACCAGTTTGGAGGTCATGAAAAAGTATGAACAGTGTCAGCTTTAGAGCTGGAGTGATTGGTTGATATATCAAATAGCGGATATTAGTGTTTTTAAAATGTAAAAAACTAAAATTTAAAAACAAGAAAAGGTGTGGAAAAGTGTCAAAATACTGAAAACACATTTATTTTGAAGTTGGAATTCATCCAAAATACAAACAAACCTTGAGCTTTTGCATGAAAACAACACAGTGATATTATTGCAGCACCAAAACTGTCACCAGAGAGGAAGAAGAAGCTATAAAATTCCACTTCTGAGCTTAGCCATGTAGCAAGCTATTTTGGTGTATTTTTGTCCTCATCAGCCAGCATGACTCATAGAAAGGGACTGTTTGGTCTTAATAACAGACCAAAAACCCCCAAACATATTGTGTTAATTTATCAATTTGTTTTTAAAGCAGCATTTTTGTTTTTACTGAAAACATATGATCAGTATGATCATAAGCTCTTTTGCTCTCTTGGTAAGAGTTGGATAAGAAGACGAGAAGATCAACAGCTTTCATGTCTGTACAGTATATGTAAGGTTTCTGCAAGAAGACAGCTTATTTCCAGTGTTTATTTATCGATCTTGGCTCAAACCTCAGTAAACCACAAAATGCTAGTTTTGAAAGTAAGGGTTAATTAGAGAGCTGAAATTGTTTGAAAGTGTGGTCAGGCCTGGTTTTTGGTCTTCATTTTCATTTACAGTGTTAATGTTGTGCTGAAATGTTTCCTGGCCACAGCTTGGCATTTTCTGCTGAGAAATATTTGTCCCCTCTTGATTGTTATTCTTCTTTTTTTGCATATTTATCACACTTACATGTTTCAGATTAGAAACTCAGGTGAATACAAAGTGCAGCTTTCACTCCTCGGCCGTAAAACTTGGGTGATGTGGACACCCAAGTTTGTGAATGTGATAACTCAAGGATGAAGCTAAAAAGCTATCCAAACTACCTGGCTATTGTGAAAAAGTTGTTAAATCACAAATTAACTTTGATTAACTACATTTTTTTGGGGGGGGAGGAAAGCTGAGTTCAATTTCATTACACAACCATTCCTCATTACTGCCAAATCTAAATCACCAAACAGAGCCTGTCTGACATAGTGAAGTAGACTAAAATATCTTAAAGAGCAACACATCATGTCATGATCCAAAGAAACTCAAGAACAGATGAAAAACAAAGTTATTGAAAGTCTGGAAAGGGTTACAGGGCTATTTCTAAGGCTTTGGGAGTCCGGTGAACCACAGTTACAGCTATTAAGTGCAAATGGAGAAAACTTGGTGGTGAACTTTTTCCAGGAGTGGCTGGCATACCAAAATTACTCAAAGAACACACTGATGACTCAACGTGAAGTTACAAAATAACACAGAACAACATCTAAAGAACTACAAACCTCACTCGCCTCACTTAGGTTCAGCAGAGGTGTTCATGATTCAACAATAAGAAAGCGAAATAAATATTCTGTGGACTGATGAGACAAAAGTTTAACTTTCTGCAAGGCTTGTGTCCCATTACATCTGGCATTCATATAAAGGATATCGTACCTGCAGTCAAACATATTGATGGTAGTGCGATGGTGCTTCAGTGGCTAGACGACTCGGTGTAATTAATGGAAGCATGAATTCTGCTACCAGAAAATCGTGAAGAAGAATGTCCAGCCTTGGGTCGTACACTGAAGTTCAAGCGTACTCTGATTATGCAGCAGGACAATGATCTGAAACACACCAGCAAGTCCATCTCTGAATGGTTCAGTAAAGGCAAAATGAAGGTTTTTAGACTTGAATCAGATTGAGATGCTTTGGCGAGACCTTAAAAAGGCCGTTCATGCTCGATGTGGCTCAATTAAAACTATTCTGGAAAGCAGAGTGGGCCAGAATTCCTCCACAGCAATGCAATCAGTTACAGTTCTTGCATCCAAGGGTAGTACAAACAGTTAGGTTTGGGGAGCGATTACTTTTTCCACGTAGGCCAGGTCGGCTTGGGAATTATTTAACAACTGCACTTTACTTGGGTTATCTTTGTCTAATATCAAAACTTGTTTGATGATCTGAAACATTTAAGTGTGACAAATGTGCAAAAAATAGGAATTTGGGAGTAGGGCAAATACTTTTCAAGTAAGATTCCTCATATGCTTTATATCCCACATAAATCAAGTTTTGTAAATGTAAATACATTTGACTTTTTAAAAAATATCCGACTGAAATTATAAAGTATCTGATTTTTTTTTTTTTTTTCCTCCTCTCTCACTCTGTCAGAGCTTCCCTTCCCCGAAGGCGAACCAATGGTCTCTGCTCTGGAGGCAAGCAACGTAACACTCGCATGCACTGAGACCACGTCCAAGCCTCCTGCAATTACCACATGGAGAAAGGGATTACAGCTGGACTACATTGAATCTGGATCAAAATACATCCTGTCTTTGGAAGGCCCGGTCTTCAAGCTGACCATAGTAAACGTCACTAAGGAGGACGAAGGCTTCTATTTCTGCCACAGTGAGAACCCGCTCGGACTACGCGAGCTGGAAGTGGAGCTCACTGTGAAGAGTTGAGTTTTGAATAAGAGGAATATCCTGGCATTAGTAGTTTTACAGAATAGATCATTTGCATGTCTTTGCATTTTTTTCAATGTCTGCGTGAGATAACGAATAGACATTAAGCAGAAGTGTAAACAGCATGCTAGTCACTACAGGTGTTGACTCCGCCTCTGGAATCCGGATAAACCTGCTGCTCCACTCTTTTTTGTACTTCATAAGCTTCTCCTGTTGCCTTTTTTGGTTTCAGCAGCCTCTTCCGCGTACACAGGAGCGGTCATCGGCATATTTATAGCAGCACTGATTGTGGGGTCAGCTGTCATCATAGCCAAAATTGTCTACAACAGCAGAGACCGGATTTGCCTGGGTAATTTTTTGTTTCTTTTCATAAATAAATTTTGTATCAATAATAGCCTCTGATCACATAACAATCCATATGCTGTGTCTGCATTTTAAATTCATAGGAACTGTATTAAACATGAAAATCTACTAATACTGATGCCATTCTTTGTGTTTTTGTGTCAATAGGTGGCTTTGGGTGAGTATTTTATATTTGCTTTTGTCATATATACTAAATGTTTACTTTAGTTGCTGTCCATATAAATTGAGTTAAAGTACTTTATGCACATCTGTGTTGTATTTGAAATGTATTGGGGTTTTTTTCCATTTAAAAGCACGCAACCATCAAGTAGTATCATTATTTTCCAGTAGTTCTTTTTACCCCTCGGCTGTAAAAGGCAGATGGGGTGTTGTGTTGTGGCCTGATGGGAAGGTGGGCAGGTCATTTGTACACCCAACTTTATGAATGTGATAACTCGAGAACGACGCGAAATAGGAGTATCGAGTTCATACCATAGGTGTACCTACTAAAAATTTCAGACAAGTTCCGATCTCAGTGACCTCATTCTCAGGTCAAGGTCAGAGGTCAATCTTGTAATTGTAATAACTCGAGCACGAGGCGATGTAGGATTTTGAAGTTGATACCATAGATGCATCTATTAAAAATCTTACCATTATTTTCTTTTTAAGTTAGATTACAAGAAATCTAAAATTATGAGCATTTGTGCTTTTACAAATATGGAAGAATCTCAGAGAAAGAACAAAAAATAAATCCTACCATCTATACATCTTCATCACCCTTAAGAGTAATTCCACCTCTGAGCAGTAGACGATATCTTGATACCATGCTCAGCCTGCACACACTTGCTGCTGCTTTTACAAGCTGCTTTGCAACTCACCTCTACTGCAGCTTCTCCATTTCATAGAGCTTTTTAGCTTGCACAGAGGGGGTCAAACTCCAGTTTTGTGATTGAAAGTGTGCTCTGCTGCTGGTGCCTCAATCTTGTTTAAAAACAAAATGCTTCTTTAAAACTCTTCACCTTACATGGCAGAACTGCGTAAAACAAGTTCTTCAGCTAAATTATCACAGTTGTTTAGTTGGAGGACTAGCACATATAAAACTTAATTTGCTAAACTGAAGAATTTTAGCTTGTGGTCTTTATGATGATCATTCACATTAAACACATTTCTCCAAAGGCCAAAAATGTGGACTGAACAAAACTGTCTAACAAATACTTGGCGAAGATCAGTTTTAAAGATTTAGGCTGCACGTGTGTGGCCCTATGTCATACTATTCTCACCTCTGCAGGCAAGTGGAGGACGACAGTGGAGACGTTCTGAGTCTGGTGGAGTCGGATGACGAACAAGTCTTCCAAGATGCAGTTCCCAGGCTGCCTCCAATAACCAACGGACATCACACAACACTTGTGCAGATACATCGAATCCCATCGAGTAGGACTTCATCACAGCAATTTATAAGTTTTCTCATTTCAGTGTAAAAATATTTTGTAAATAAAAATGAATAAAATAAATAAAAACCTGAATAAAAACGTCCCTCTTTTATTCAGGTGATCACGGGGATGCAGAAACTGCTGACACAAGTCCACAGCAGCGGGAGGATACCATACAGACGGAAGAGCCAGTGCAACTTGTAGAATTTTAGGTATTGGGGATTTTTTTTTTTTTTTTTTAGAGCAATGTTTAGTTTTAGATAAATTTACTCCTGAAGAGAATGTGAACAGAATCGGTGGCAGAAACCTTTTTGTCCTTCCTTTCTATTTTTTTTTTTTTAAGATTCTATATTTTTTGTAAATTAATTTTGATTGATTTGTTTATACAGTATGTAAAAATAAATAAATGTAATACAGTAAATGTGTTTGAACAAATATTCTTTGCATGTTTTTATGAGTTTTGTATTTTTTAAAGGTGTTCACTATGTACACTATGCAGACCAATATATGTGACCTTTGACTATCTCGGTCTAGAATGCAACTCTGCTGCAGAACTATTTTTTTTTTGTTTTAAATGCAGCAGAGTCAGTTCGTCACTTGTCTGGGATTTATGCTACGTGTGAAACAAACTTGACTCACTCACTTGAAAATATTTACACATGTACAGATCTACGTGAGAGGGAAAACTGAAATTAAAAACTCTAAAGGGTTTGACAAAAAATTGGTTGATTTACACAAAATTATTCAATATTATTAGAATTTATTATTAGTGTCCTTTTAATGCAAAAGTACAATTGAGTCTCTCGTTCACCTTCTCAGTTTTTATAAAGAAGATTTTACTGGATAATTAATAGTCTAAATAATTCACTGTGTAAAACCATCAAAATCATATAAAATATGTAATGCTGTTGTGTTTCTTTTAAAGGAGACAGATGGATCATTTGAATGGCACTTTAAATCCAAACAGTCTGCAGGCTTTAATAATGCATTAGGCTGTTAAAGGGAGATCCAGCCTCACACGTAACTGTCTGGAAATAGGTCCTCTGATATATTAATAATTCATGGTACATATTTAAGATGATGTGTACACAGTACAGAGACTTTTTCACTCCTTTTGAGGCAGCTATAATGTTATTCTACGGCTATGATCACATCAAGTTTGTATATTTTTCTTTTACATTAAAACAAACCTTAATAGTCACACATGGACACCAACTGAAGAAGAATTTACCGGTTAGAAAAAGAACAGGAGACACTGCGACATGAAATGAACATGTATAAAATAAAAAAATGTTATGGATCGTCAGGTATTTAAACTGTTTTCATGCACTTTGTATAGAAAGTTGTTCTGAAAGGGTTTTTTTTTTTTTGTTATTGTACAGATATTTGATACTTGATTTGCAGGACAGAACCAAAAGGGGAAATAAAGGATAAAAATATAAGCAAATATTTTGTGAATATTTGTGTACGTCTACAGAAATATTACATTACTGTACTCCTCTATATCAGCAAGAAACATTTTACTGTAGTATAAAATTTGGGTGCAAAATTCTTTCTTTAAAGATTTTTGCACCCAAACACCCAAAGGCGATCACTGTATGCTAAAGAGACTCGTTTTCAAAAAGGAATAGATAAAACAGAATCTACATGAACAAGAAATAACCCACAAATTGTATTTCTCAATGGCACAAATTAATTCACAAATTTAGTAGAAGTCCCTGTTGTTACTAGATCAATACTCATTCCCTGTAATTCAGTTTGAACAATTTTATGTCCTTAAAAAGTCAAAATTATTCAGAGTGATCTCAACTAATAATGATAATATTCTTCAGTACAGCGAGAAAAAAAAACAAGCAAGTAAAGTACAGTAGGCCAAAGTACAGTAGGCCAAAAATAATCATGCATGATGCAAGAGAGCAAAGCTTGCAAATGAACTTCACATGAAGGCTTAGTTTTCACAGCTTTTTCACTTTGTAGTTTTGCACATTTTCTGTTGCTCTGAGTCAAATAAAAAACTAAACATTGTTTATGAATATTTTAGT